TCTCTCTGAGTCTCTGTCTCTCCCAAAAAACATGGTGACTACACTTCTCTCAGATATTCATATATTCTCTCTCACGATCTCTCACTCAGTCACTTTCTATGTCTCTCTCTCTCTCTCTCTCTCTCAGTCTCTTTCTCTCTGCCTCTCCCACAATACACACAGTCACTACACTTTATAACATACTATCTCTCACAGTCTCTCTCTTTCGCTCAGTCTCTCTCTCTGACACACACACACAGACAGTCTCTTTCACTCTCTCTCTCTCTCTCTCATCCTCTCAGTCTCTATCTCTCAGGCTCTCTGAGGCTGCCGCTGAGTCTCTCACTTTACTTCTATATCTCAATCTCAGTCTTTTTCTCTGTCTCTCCTGCAGTTTTGCTCTCTCACCCATTTTTGTCTCAGTCCCTCTCTCTCTCTGAGTCTCTGTCTCTCTCTCAAAACACAGTCACTACATTTCTCTCATATATTCACATATTCTTCTCAGTGTCCCTCACTTATTCCCTTTCTCTCTCTCTCTCTCTCTCTCACACAGTATCTTTTCTCTCTCTCTCCGTCTCTCTCTCTCTCTGCTTCTCCCGGAATACACACAGTCACTAAACTTTATTATATATTCTGTCTCAGTCTCTCTCTTTCTCTCAGTCTCTCTGTCACACAGACAGTCTCTCTCAGTCTCTATCTCTCAGCATATCCCTCTATCCGTCTCTCAGTCTGTTTTTCTGTCTGCCCCTCTCTCTCTCGCGCAGACATTCTCTGTCTCCTAGTATTTCACATTTTCTCTCAATCTCTCACAATCTCTTGCTCTTTAATCTCTCACAAAACACAGTCAGTACACTTCATAATATTTTCTCTCTCAATCTCTCTCTCCGTCTCTCTCTCTCTGTCTCTCTCATATTGTGTCTCTCACCTGCTCTCAGTCACTCTCTCAGTCTCCTTCTCTATCTCTCCTGCAGTTTCTCTCTCTCTCTCTTTCTCCCACAGAGCACACAGTCACTACACATTATAATATATTTTCTCGCACAGTCTCGCTCTTTCTTCTCTCTCTCAGTCTCCCATTCTCAGTCTCTCTCTGACTCTCCTACAAAGCAGTCACCCATTATATACACAATCTCCCACCCAACCTCTCTCTCTCTCTCTCTCTCACCGTCTCTCTTTGTCTATCTCTGTTACTCTCTTTCACTCTCCCGATGTCCCTCTGTCTTCTCTCTCTCACAGTCTATCTCTAATGCTCTCTCTCTCTCTCTCTGTCGGTCTCTCTCTCTCTCTCTCTCTCTCACAGTCTCTCTCACAGTCTCCCACTCATAGAAGACGCTTATCTTCGACATGACTTTGGCCTCCCTCACTCCTCTCTGCCTTCCCTCACCCCCACCTCTCCCCTCAACCACACCTCACCCTTCACCACCACTCGCGCTCACCTCACCCACACCCCACCCCTCATCCACACCCCAAAGCTCCCAACTACCCCACCCCTACCACCACACCACCCTCCCCATCCTCGGACCCCCACAACTGACTGTCCAGCGCCTTCGGGTGTACACCCGCCATGAAAGGCGCTATATAACTGTCATTTTTTTGTTGTTGCATTTCCTCTCACAGTCTCTCTCTCTCTCTGTCTCTCTCACGCTCTCTTTCAGTCTTTTTTTCTCACTCTCGCAGCCATTCTCTCCCAGTCTCTCTTTCTGGTCTTATACTGCCTTACCCATAAAACACACATTTTCTCACACATCCTCTCTCTCCCTCATCTCTCTATCTGTCAGTATCTTTCCCTCAGTCACTCGCTCTAACTCTCTCACACGCGTTCCCTCTGACTCTCTCTCTCTCTCTCTCTCCTCTCTTCATTCTCTCGCTCAGACTCTCCAACAAAATGCACTGTCACTACACATTTTCTTTCTCCTCACAGCTTCTCTCTGTTTTTATCTCAGCCTCTCTCTCTCTTCCTCTCTTTAGCCTTTCTCTCCTATTCTCCCTCTCCCAGTCTCTCCCACAGCTTCTCTCAATCTCTATATCTGTCTCTCTCAGTCTTTCTCACTCAGTCTCTCTCCGCAGTAACTCTCTCTCAGTCTTTCTTCTCTCTGTCGCTTTCTTTCTCTCCCTCAGTTTCTCTCGCTCAGTTTCTCTCTCTAAATCTCTCTTTCTCTCTCAGTCTCTCTCTTCCAGTATCTCAAGCTCAGTCTGTAGCTCTGATTCTCGTTCTGTCTTTCTCTCACTGAGTCTCAGCCTCAGTCTCTAACTTTCAGTCTCTCGCACAGTCTCTCATTCTCTCTCACTCAGTGCCTCTCTCTTTCCCTCTCAAACTCCCGTTCTGCCTCTCTCTCTCTCTCTTTGTCATTCTCTCTCTCTCTCTCTCTCAGGTTTTACTCTCTTCCCGTCACTCTCTCTCCGTTTCCAGCTCCCCCACTCTCTCTTTCTCACCTACGAAGCACAGTCACTACATTTTGTAGTATATACACTCTCACAATGTCTCCCTCTTTCTCACAGTCTCTGAAGGGTAGTGATAGTGTTTTGTTGGTGAGCAAGAGCGAGAGACTGCGACAGAATAAAGGAAGAGACGGGAAATACTCAATCTGAGAGAGACTGTGAGGGAAAGCAAGTACAGAGAGACAGAGACAGAATGAAAGAGACAAGAAGAAAGAGTGACAGCGAGAGAGTGTAAAAGGCAACAGAGAGAGAGAGAGAGATGGTCAGTTGTTGTGTAGGAGAGACTGAGAGACTCAGAGTTACAGAGAGAGAGGATAGTGACACTCAAAGAGAGACATCAAGTGAGTGAGACTGTGACAGAATGATTACTAGAGGAGACTGAGCGAAAATATATAGCGTGTAGTGACTGTATTTTGTGGAGAGACAGAGGGAACCTGAGAAAGAGAAAGAGAGAGAAAAAGAGAGAAAGAGCGAAAGAAAGGAAAGATGGAAAGACTGAGAGAGAGAAAGGTATACAAAGAGGGCGACTGAAAGAAACGATGAGAGAATATGTATAGTAAAGCGTAGTGACGGTGAGTTTTTGGGCGAGGCAGAGAAAGAAGAGACAGAGCGAGAGAGTCTGTGAGAGAGGGAGTATGTGTGAGTGGGAGACTATGAGAGAGAAGAGCGAGTTTGAGTGAGAAAATGAGAGAGAGAGATTGGAGCAGAGAGACCGATTCTGAGAAAGAGAGAGAGAAAGAGACAGAAAGACAGAGAGACAGGCAGGCAGATACCCTGAGAAGAGAGAAGAGAGAGAGAGAGAAAATAAGATATTACAAAATATTACAGTACCGTGGTGTGTTCTCGGGAGAGGCAGAGCGAGAGAGAGAGACTGAGACAGAAAAACCACTGAGAGAAATAGAGAGGGAGCGTGAAGGAGAGACTGATAGAAGAGAGACTAAGAGAGGGAAACATTGAAGAGAGAGTATATATATTTTATTGACATTGTTTTGTAGGTGAGACAGAGACAGAGACTGAGTGGGAAGAGATAGAGAGACTGAGAAGGAATTTGAGACTGAGTTACAGATACTGTGAGATGTGACTGCGAGTGACAGAAAGAACGAGACTGAGAGAGATAGAGAGAGACTGAAAAGATAATATATTATAACTGCAGTGACTACGTGTTTTGTAAGAAAGACAGAGAAATGAATACAAATAAAGAGACTAAGGGGGAGACAGACATAGAGAGAAATACCGAGAGAGAGAGAGACTGCAAGAGAACAGAGAGAAACTGAGAAAGAGAGAGACTGACTGGGGGAGAGAGAAGGCGAGGACTGGTAGAGAGAGAGAGAGAGAGAGGGAGAGAGAGAGTTAGAGACAGAACAAGAGTCAGGGATAGAGATGGAGAGAGAAAGAGATTGAGTGAGAGAATATGTGATAATGTGTAGTGACTGTGATACCATTCTCCCATTGATCAGGTGGTGTTAATGTCATAAAGAATCACTAGAGTCCTAGAATGGCTTTGATATAAAATAAAAGAATAAGTTTACAAAATAGATTAACTTACTGCAACGCTGACATTTGTACAAACAGGAACCAGACGCTGGAGACCCTCATCATGAATGTTGCAGTACTCAGTTCCAGTTGTTTTATTGTGTCACACAAGTGCCAATGGCTTGAGACAGC